CTGTTACCCGCGACTGGATGTCAACGTCAGTAAAGGAGTCAACCACTTACTGAAGAGCCCCTTCAGCGTACACCCTAAGACAGGTGAGATCTAACTTTACCTGAGTAACTGACTTCATAAACTGCTGTTTAAACGTTTGGGGTAAGGACGTTTTTTTGTTTTTTTATAAATACAATAATAATTTAAATATTTTGTAACACAAATTTCTTTACTAATTCAAATACTGTTCTTAAAATTTGTTATTTTGAGGGGGGAAAGTATCACTGTTTCCACAAAAATATTAAGCAGCACAACTGTTTTTAATATTGATGATAATAAATGTTTCCTTAGCAACAAATCAGCATATTAGAATGATTTCTGAAGGATCATGTGACACTGAAGACTGGAGTAATGATGCGGAAAACTCAGCTTTGCATCACAGGAATAAATTACATTTAAAAAAAATATTAACATACAAAACAGTTTGTTTTAAATAGTTGTTTTAATATTTAACAGATTTTACCAATATTTTAAATCAAATAAATGCAGCCATTGTGATCATAAGGCAATGCATGAAAAACAAAATTTAGCAGTAGCGCATTGCTAGTCTTATGGGGCAAGTTTCATCTGTGCTTTAAAGCAGCACTATGTAACTTTTTTCTGTTCAAAATTTGCAAAATGTATATAATGAGCGAGTACACCATGAATTCATCTTCCAAACAGCGTTTTTGTCTTATTCCAAATCACTACGGTACACTTATAATAAGTACTTATATTTGGACTATTGTAGCCTGGTCGGGTCGTCACCGCTGCGGAGTAACACATACATGCGTGAATCGCCATAGACATAAACTTAGAGAAGTAGCTCCGGTTGGAAAGTTCTTCAGCGGAATGTGTGCAGTTCTGTTTATTAACCGCTAGAGCGCCAAAAGTTACATAGTGCTGCAAGGGGAAAAACAGAGTTCAGAGATCTTGGGTTTACACTGACACCTCCTGGTGAGAATAAGGCATCACACAGGAGCGCTTTTGGTTACAGGTGCCATTGTAGAAATGGCCTGATTTCAGGACAGAGTGATAAAGTGAGTAGAATTTTGGCATAACATTTTCTTAAGAAAACTAAAAGAAAAAACATCATGTAGCAACACATCATGTAGAACAAAACTACTTCATTAATCTAGGCCAGTGATGTGACAACATATATATTTTTTAGAAGTAATAATTATCAATTGAAATATTAATTATTTTGTTAAAAATAGTTTGCATAATGTTTTTAATTAGGACAAAATAGCTCTCAAAAAAATCCCTCTTTCTTTTTTTTTCCGTCTCTCTATTCAGTCTCTAAGTAAACAAAAGAGAAAGACAAAACACCTTAAATTGTGTGATAAAGTTTAACATATGAAATCATTTCACACTGTGAGGTATAAAGTCAAATGAGAAATAAAGCTGCAATTGTGAGATTAAATATAAATGTGAAAATATGAGATTAATATGTAACATGAAAAACATAAAAATACATTTGCCATAGATAAAGATAAAAAAAAGAATTAGATGCTGTTTATTGTAACTTTCAGTTCTTGGACTAAATAACTGTGTAGAGTTTACATACTTTTATCTCAATTTTAAATGTTGATTGAGTCAATAAATAGTAATAATGGTATATTCAAAGGTGCAATTGTATGGAGTTGCAATTGTGACATACGGAATGCAAATGTGAAAATATGAGATAAATATGTGATATGAAAAATATAACATTTGCCATAGATAAAGATTTCACTACAAAAAAAGTAATAATAAGATGCCACCTTCAGTTCTTGTACTGTACTTGTACTTGTACTATACTGTAAAGTATCGATTTTATTTACTGATATATTAATGTGTAAGAATTGCATACGTTTATCTCATTTGAAATATTTGAAATAACATTTGAGTATAATTGACATAATGCATTTATCTTAATTTAACCCTAACCTATGTTTAATTTAACTATTTACATTCTTACATGTAACCCTTTACATTTAACTCTAACAACTTTTTTTCTGTTCATATCCAGGAGAAAATACTGTATTAAATTATAAAATCCACATTTCAGCTCTGACATCCTCCAGTGGTGCTGTAAATGAGGAGTCTCCAAGTTCTGTGGATCTGGAAGTGTTGACTGATCCAGTCTCCACTGAAAAATGCCTGAAAGTGTGTAAATGGAAATACAGTCAAATATCTGACAACACCAGCCAGTTTGTGCTAAATGTTGGACTCAGAAAAATCTGAAGTTGTCTGTGATGTCTGTGAAGAAACAAAGATGAAAGCCTTGAAGTCCTGTCTGGTGTGTCAGATCTCTTACTGTGAAACTCACCTGGATCTTCATCAGAAAGTCCTGAGCTTAAAGAAACACAAACTGATGGACCCTGTGGAGAATATAAAGGACTGTATATGCCAGAAACATTAGAGACCTCTGGAGCTGTTCTGTAGAGATGATCAGACGTATGTGTGTGTGTTTTGCACTGATGGAGACCACAAGACTCACAACACTGTTCCTCTAGAGGAGGAGAGTAAAGAGAAGAAGGTATGAGAAACTAGCGACATTAAAAATACTTTAATAATCTGTTTTTAATAACAATTAATTAAATGTGTCTGTGTGTTCCGGTTTGTCTATAGACTCATATATGATGAAGACACAGAAAGACGTGCAACAAATGATCCAGGACAGAATCAAGAAGATGCAAGACATCAAACATTCAGCAGAACTCAGAAAAGTGAGAGGATATTGAATATTAGATGGGTAATGTTTTGATTTGCCTTAAAAAATAAATCAGATTTTTTGAAAGTAATACTGTATTTTTCAGAAAAGCAAAGAGCGAGAGAAAGCAGCCAGTGTTGAGCTCTTTAGTGATCTGATGCGCTCTATTAAAAGATGTCAGGCTGAGCTGCTGGAGATGATGGAGGAGAAGCAGAAAACAGCAGAGAAACAGGATGAAGAGCTCATTCAAGAGCTGCAGCAGGAAATCACTGAGCTCAAGATGAGAAACACTGAGCTGGATCATCTCTTACACACTGAGGATCACCTCCAGCTCCTACAGGTCAGTGTCTCTCTGTCTGCTCTCATCACAGGACAACACTCACACTCCTCACGCTGAGGGATTTCTCCTCTCTCCTGCTGTAGATTGATCCATCCCTGTGCAGTCCTCCACACACCAGGAACTGGCCTGAGATCAGTATGAACACTGATGTGAGTGTGGAGACTCTGAGGAGAGCTCTGACTCAACTGCAGGAAACTTTAGACCAGAAACTCAATCAATCTGGTAGGTCAATGTAAATACAGCACACAAAATTTCTTTTGACAGCAGTCATGCTTTATCTAGGGAAACATTATAGCTGCAGAGGTCACAAATGCTCACCAAGGCTGCATTTAATTAATCAGCAATACAGTTAAATGTAATATTGTGAAATATTATTGTAATTTAAAATGACTGCTTTCTATTTTTATACATTTTATAAAGTAATTTATTCCTGTGATGACAAAGCTGAATTTTCAGCAGCTGTTGTTTCCGTCTTCAGAGTGACATGACCGTTCATGATATGTTGTATAATATAATATCTCATAATTCTATTATGCTGGTTTGGTGCTCAAGAAACATTTAATCATTATCAATGTTGAAAACAGTTTTGCTCACAATTTTTTGTTTGTTTTAATTTTTGCTAAATAAAAGTATTAATTATGTGACAACAAACTAGCATTTGGATGTTGGTTTATCCACCCTTGTTGATGTTTTATTATTATTTTCCTCCACAGTGTTAAGGGTGATGCAGCATTATACAGGTAAAATGTGCCATTTGTACTTTTCTCTGACATTCAGAGACACAGATACACATATGACAGCTGAACATATAATCACTTGTACCAACTATTTTTTGTTAAATATTAAACACATCTAAATCTTTGTATTGTGAAGATTCATATTCTCTGATCTCTCTCTCAGTGGATGTGACTCTGGATCCTGATACAGCTCATCCAAAACTCATCCTGTCTAATGATGGGAAACAACTGAGACATGGAGACATTAAACAACAGCTCCCAAACAATCCAGAGAGGTTTGATCACTATCCTGGTGTCCTGGGAAAAGAGGGATTCTCCTCAGGGAGATTTTATTTTGAGGTGCAGCTGAAGGGAAAGAGTAAGTGGGATTTAGGAGTGGCCAGAGAATCTATTAACAGGAAGGGAAAGATCAGAGTGAGTCCTCAGGATGGGTTCTGGGCTGTGGCTCTGAGGAATGGGAATGAATATTGGGCTTGTGCTGATCCCTGTGTTTATCTCTCTCTGAGAGTGAAGCCACAGAAGGTGGGGGTGTTTGTGGATTATGAGGAGGGTCTGGTCTCCTTCTATGATGTGGAGTCCAAATCTCATATCTGCTCTTTCACTAGTCAGTCTTTCACTGAGAAACTCCATCTATATTTTTGTCTGTTTAGTAAAGGGGATAAAGGTCAAGACTCTCCCCCAGTAATCATCTCACCTGTTATCTACACTGAATGAGTTTTCATTGCGAATTCATTTGACAGAGTTTTACATTTCATGAAGAAGCCATTATGTTGATGATATCCTTGTGCCTAGAAATAATGTTTTGTATCAGGATTATGTACTTTTGTTGTCCATGTATTTGTATGTGTTCACAATAAATTTTTTAAAGCAGCTTTACAGAAAGTCATGATGTTAATGTTTATAATAACTTAATATCTTTATGCCCTTATAGTCGCATTTAGCAGATTAGAGCTTGGGTGACAATATAGTT